AAAAGGGTAGCATTACGTTGTTTCCAAATCTGGAAAACAGTACATGCCAGGCCAATCCTCCTAGCCTTCTTAAGAACAGCATCACCTCTTCGAAAGGTCTTCATCCAACGAACAGCTCTATCAAGAGTGCTCAGGTGCCCATCAATCCGTAACCACTGCTTAATGGCCTCCCAAACCTGCTTTGAGATTACACACCCAAAAAACAAATGATCAATGTCCTCAAGGGTATCCCCACAGAGGGTACACTCCATAGGCAGGCCCAGAAACTCCAAATTTGATTTAGTGGGCAGCCTCCTCCTAAATACTAGCCACATCGTAAAGGAGCATTTAGGAGGAATAGTCGAGTGCCAAATAAAAGTCATCCAAGGCTTGGGGTTGGCCTTCACCCTAAGCAAATCATACACCTTGCTCGGAACAAGGTTACCGCCCTCACACACAGTCTGCATAGCCACTTCCATGGAGGAGTTATGGCTGCCAAGCTTCTGGACAAGAAGCTCTCGCACATATGCAAGCCTTTTGAAGAGGACACTCTTAATGAAATTGGATGTAGCATATAGAATGTGGTGTATAAAGTGTAATAAATAAAGTAAGTGGACTAATTATGGTATTTTAAATGCAAAAAATGTAATGTGAATATCTTCTCAGAAAAACAAAAATGACATTTGGAAATATTTATGGTGGATGGAAAGAGTAACATTTAAGCCGAAAGGCTGAATATGAAATACTCCTCAAATACCGTGGACTATGAACGTAATATCTTATAATTAGAGATCATACATGAAAAAATCCTTCATTATGAGAGAACATTTAAGCAATTTACCATAAACTCAATTAGAATACAATGATAATAGGTTGAGAAAAAGATTTAGTAAATTCTCGACCTAATGACGTAGAATGAATAGTCCATTAGAATAGGTCATTAAGCCACTGCATGTCATTAAAATACAAGAATAATAAAATTAGTATTTGTTAATAATTTCTCAACCTAATAACATAGTAAGTCAATGCTTCCGTATCTCTTGAGACTTGATTAGCAATTATTCTTATTTTAATGACTTCAATTAAATAAAATGTGTTTTGAGAATAATTATCTGGAATACTATTTTATTTGAAAAGACCATTCAAGCAACTTTTAGATTTAGACTTGTCAAATTTAGTTTATGCTGTTGTAAAATAATGAACCCACAAATTCAAATTGAAAAAGTTGTTTGCAAAGGCCAAATAGGCATAAGCTGGTGTGGCGTTAGGGGAGGATAATGTATAGTGTACACCAGTGATACGTAAAGTTGGGTACATTCGGCAAACATTCATTTTAAATCAATAGAATATTCATTTTGAATCAACAAAATATTTACTTTCAAATATAGTGTTTATTACTCCCTCCGTCCCTTTAAACACGAGATGTTTTGATTTTGAAGAGATTTAAGGGGAATGTATTTTGGTATTGAATTTCCAAAAATGTCCTTTGATGTGATGGGTAAAAGTAGGATTTGATTGGTAGATTATTAGTAAAAAGGTATGATGTGATAGGTAGGGTATGAAAAAGTAAGGGGTAAAAGTGTCTTTTTAATAGAAATAAGAAGTGTTTTTTGGGACAAATGAAAAAAGAAAGGAGAAAGGTTTTCAGGGACGGAGGCAGTATAAAACAAATGCAATTTTAATTCTGAAATAACGTAGTATTCTCAAATATGTGGTGTTTCTCTATGCTAGTGCTTATTGACTTATTATTTATAAGTTGCTTATAAGTTAAATAATTTTTTGTGTAGATGAAATGACTTAAATGATACTATCTCCGTCCCCGAGTATTTGTCCAGTTTTGACTTTTTTTGGTCAACTGTTTTTAATCTTTGACCTAGAATTAAATAAAATATATATTGTATATTAATTAGATAAAATGATATTTTAAAAATATTTGATATGATAAATGAAATAAAACTAATTTTGTATCAATATCTAATATCATTTTTATTTAATTTGAAGTCAAAGTTTACCAATTTTGACCAAACAAAGTCAAAAGTGGACGAATACTCTGGGACGGAGGGAGTATATAAGTCATTTGGGAATATTCATAATGAGGGAGAAGTTTTGCAAGTAATCTGGTCAAAACGGAAAAACAAAAAAGCTAGCTTAAAAATAAGTAGGTAAGACCTATTTATTTTTTCAAACCTATAAGTCAGATTATAAGCACGACGTCATATGCTGACTTATAAGTTAAAAACAGCTTATTTACATTATAAGTTTGAGTGTTTGACACCATATAATTTGCCTTGGGCGAGAGATCAACCAGAGGTACGAGAACTTGGGGAGACGAAATAGATCGGACTATCTTCTCCAGTTCTCCTCCTGAAATTGCAAAGTAGAAGCAGCAGAAACCAAACCTTAGAGGGAACAAGGCAGTGCAGCAGATCCTAAGCTGAAACTAGGGTTCTTCAAGGGTAATCTCTAGGAGCTTCTTGTAATCTGCCTTCTTCTTCTTCTTCTTCATTTCTTTTTGTAATATCTAGTCGATTCCCTTGAAGTATCTTGTATTAGATCTCAGATAAATCACTATTGATTTCAATTGAAATCTTAATTTTTTGAAAATGATCCACATTGTGATAGAATGTGTATGCTTCTGTTTCCAGTAACATGAGTGAGTTATAACTTGGTTTGGCTGATGAGATTGTGCGGCTTAAAGATGGTCATTAAAACCTAAATTTTTTCCTTTCACGGTTTTTCAAAAAATCTGTGTTGATAATTCAAATCAGGCTCTGTTTGGTACATGAAATTTCGAACTATAGAATTGGAATTGGGGATAATAATTCCAATCATGCTGTTTGGTAGCACAAAAATACGTGGATTTGGCATTGGTAGTGCCAAAAATGAATTGGAATTGGAGAATTAATTCCATCCAAATCAATTCTATAGAATATCAATTTCCTATTCAGTTCCAATCCCGTCAATTCCGTGTACCAAACGGACCCTAGGTGTTTTAACATTGCTAGGGTTCTAAATTGGATTGCCATGAACATAGTCAACAAGTCAAACCAAAACCATGTTTAATTGAATCAAAAAAAGAATTAAGCTTGGGGTGCCCTAATTTTTTACCCCAACTCTCACACTACCCTTCTCATAGACATTCACATACACGAACAATTTCATTGTTTGTCAGGTGGTGTGAGAGTTGAGTTCAAAATTGAGGTACCCCTAGGCCCTAGAATGATCCTTCAAAAGAACTCCTATCTGACCTGCTTTTTTTCTTAGCTGTTTTCAAATTCACTCGCCTCAACTAGATTTCTAAACAAAAACATATTTAGTCTACTTGATTCGGCTTTTGTCGGGTCGAATCTTATATTGACCTTGCCGTTTCATTCTTTTATTCTCAGCATCTTATATTAACCCTGTAGATAAACAGCGGCAGCGAAGGAAAGGCATGAGTGCTGGGAGGTTGAAGAACTTGCTGGCATCGGTAGCCATTGAAGGGGTAGCCGAGGCAAGGGCGAGCATATTTGGCCATGTGCTTAACCCCACTGGTGAGAGATCCGGCCATAAAATTCTGCGCAAGAAACTGATTGGAGACAAGGTTTCGCAGTGGTACCCACATGACATCAGAAAGGATGATCCTCTCATCATGGCTCGAGAAGAACAAGAGCGTTTAAGCAAGCTTGAAATGTTGAAGCGCCGTGGGAAGGGACCACCTAAGAAGGGCCAGGGAAAGCAGGCCAAGAAGCGGAACAAATAGGCAATGGATTCTCACGGAATCTTATAATGAGTTGCCTTCACAGGTAGCCTCAAGCATTAATGGTTCTCTTTGTTAGCTAACTTTCCTTTTCTATTATCTGCTTCATCTTTGTGAACTTTCAACATGCATTCTGAGTGGCCTTGAAATGGATTTTGTCAGTACTAGTAAGTGTTTTTTGTTCTTATTATGTCTTTGTAAGATTCTGTTGTTGATGAATGATAAAATCTGCATTTAGAAAGAACATTTATAGTCTCTTTTAATTTCAAGGAGAAAACACTTTTAGAACTGAGGTAAGTGTGACTAAAAGTCTATCTCCTACTTTTAATTATTGTGTCATTAGAATAACTACTTCATTAGATTTAGTTGTGCCACACTTGAAACCCATACCCATGTCCATTACTTATACCTCTTTGAAAAGACTGTTGAAACTTAACTTTGAGTTCTTTAAGAGTCCCCAAAGTATGATGGGTTTTCTAGGAGGGTCTTTCTAGACATGCATGTGGATGAAATTTAGATAACATGTGGAACAATGGAGCCTAATAAGGGGTACCTTAAAAGGCAATTAGGCTTAGGACCTCTCCATTTCCATTTTTAGATAAGGCATAGTCTAGCTTTACTACATTCCTCTTGAATTGGATCCTTTTCCTTCTAACCAGCCTATTTGGATAAGGCCTTTTTGGATGTTATTTACACTTGTTCCTTATATTTTTATGAGGACCAAATATTTAGCTCGTACCGATACCGTACCAAATATTTCGATTCGGTATGGGATTTTACTCCGTACCGATCCCGAAATATCGGTTCGGTATGGTTCGGGATGGTTCGGTGTCGGTTTCGGTACAAATCGGGATGAAGATACATACATATTTTACACGTTAAAATTTAACAATACCGTTTTATTTTTGAAAATTAAAAGTGAATTAAAATAAAAAAAACATGAAAAATTTAAAAAAAATGAATATTTAAATGCAAGAGATGCGTATCAAAAACTTATTTTATACGGAGTATTTCACAAACTAAAAAATGAATGACAACAAAGGAGTATTTTGAATCTTTGTGAATACTTTTATACGGGGAAGGTTCAAGTGACATTGAACCTTGATGTCATGAGATGACCCGGGGGCGCTCCGGTGCCCCGTTCGTAAAATTGACGGTTCCTACCCTCCTAACCCCCCCGGTAAACCCCTCACCCGACCCCGGCCCGAACACACCCCCCCCCCACCCCTTCAATTGCACCACCCACATGACCCCACTCTCCATTCAGATGATGGGATGATATATACAGTTGCTCACTCTGGTTAGGTATATTTTTTTTTATCTTCCATGCTCTCTGGGATAATTCACTTTTATTTTACCTTAGAATTTAATAAATATTTGGCACTTTTTATGCAAAAAAAAAGGGCAAAGATGTTAGAATAGTTGAGAATATTTTTTTACTAAAGATTCCGAAAGGGGGAGATTGTTATTAAGAAGTCACCCTCATGGTCATTATTGGTAATGTAAATGCATTTTAACTCCTATTTCTGGAATAAAAATATAAAACTTCTATTTTGGTATATTTTCAATGTTTTACTCCTATTTTACTCTTTTTCCATGTTATTTTCATCTAAATTTGTTTTCTTAACATTCGGCGGCAGTATTTTTTTAAACAAACAAATAGTTTATCCTTTGCTATTAGATTGTTTTGTTAGTTTTTTTTTTTTGAGACATGTAACATCATGCAAGTCATCAGAAAGGACATAACATGAAATAAAGGAAAAGTTTGGAAGAATTTCATGGAATCCTTGACACGAGCTACCAAAAATTGTATATTAGGAGGGAGAATATGCAACTTTGAAGTACTGCGTGCTTAATTTGATACTCCCTCCGTTTCTTAAAACCATTCCTCTTTTATTTTTTTTTGTTTTTCTTAAAACACTTTCCCTTTCTATTAAAAAACCACTTTTACCCCTACTTTTTCATACCCTACTTATCACATCATACTTTTTCACTAACAACTAAACTATCACATCTTACTTTTACCCATTACATCAAGGGCAAAATTGGAAAGTCAACTACAATTTAACACTTCCTTATTTTCCCACAAAGTCAAAAGAAGAACTTTTTTGAGAAACGGAGGTAGTACTATATTCGACCAAATAGCATAGTCATTTAACTCTTTATTCTGTAAAATTTCTATGCAGTTTCTAAATACAAAGTCTCTAGCTTTTATTTCTACACTAACTTTTGAATAAATTGAATTAAAAATGTAACTCGTCTCAATGGTAAACTGCAATTAATTTTCTTTTAGGGGCCTAATTTCTAGACATGTGTTACAGCTTTGGGTGCTGTACTTGTGATTGCAGCTTTCATGAATAGGTTACATGGGTTATGACTTAGGAAGCAATACAATAGGGAAATAATTAAGTGAGCACAACAAATATATGCTCCCCATTTTAGAAAGCCATGGTGAGAGACCCCACACTTGGTTCCATGTCTTTGGTTCCCCTTTGCCCCAATGTAAAGAAGGGATGCTCCTACCAGCGACAGGACCCTGCATAATACATGCCCATACATATCCTAACACTAAGGCCTCCTTGGACCCCCCTTTCTCACACTCAATAAAAAGTACCTTCACATGCTTCACCTGTGTATAATATTATCATATTCATTAGCTTAGGTTCACCTCTATGTGTGTCTATATATATATATATATATATATATATATATATATATATATATATATATATATATATATATATATATATAAAACAGGTGTTTAATTTCTCTGTGATTATAAAAAAGTCATCTGCTTCTCTGTGTTTATATATAACCTGACTTATAAGTTGTTTATAAGTCAGAAAAAATAGGTAGATCTAACCTACTTATTTTTAAATTAGTTTTTTCATTTCTCCGTTTTGACCGGATTATTTACAAAACTATTTCCGTCATCTTTTGTGAAGATTCCCAACCCATTTAAATGATTTTACTTCCACAAATGAATTTTAAACTTATAAGCAGCTTATAAGTTAAAAGCTGCTTATCAGCAATAAGTCAATAAGCACCGGCACAGAAGACCACCCTCATAGTTTGTGTGCGTGCTTGTGTGGATTTGTATTTCACATAAAAATGTACTGAAATGTCATGTCTTAACACGAAAAAAAATAAGAAATTATAAAATGGAGTGGTTGAAATCTATTTTGAAAAATTGAAACACTATAAAAATTGAAGAAGAATTTTTACCTTATCTTGAGCCAATTCTGCCTGATACCCAAGTAATGCAGCTATGCCATCCATTACTATCAGAATCACAATGGATAAACCAATACGAAGACTAGAACATTTCATTTTTTTTGAAAAAAAAAATGCTGTTGGGAGGTATATTTGGAATTATTATTTTTTTGAGGGAATATTTGGAATTAAAATAAATGAATAATAATAATCAAGAATTTATTGATTCAAGCCCAGATTTAATCATAATGTATGTGTATTTATATATTAGACGAATGAGAATATATAGTTGGAGTGCTGCATGTTTAACTTTGGTTTTAAGGAAATAATATTGCGGCCCGGCCCAACCCAACCCACAAGACAATACTTTTTTTTTATTCTAAAATTAACTTTTCAATTTGATCTTTACGGTTAAAGTTTTTAGACTTTGACCAAATATTATAGAAAAAATATATTGAATTTTTATATAAATTTTTTATCAATAGATTTATTTTGAGATATATATTATTTTTATAATATATATTTATATAATAATCAAAGTGTTACATTAAAGAATGTGAACAGTCAAATAAGAAATTAATTTTAGGACAGAGGGAGTTTTTTTATGATTAATAACTATTCTGCTAGGTAATACAAAGTATATGTTCAATGACTATAACTCTGTTGTTATGTACTACTTCCGTTCCACAAGACCTTATTGATTTTGACTTTTAAAAGATTTAATGAAGTGTATTTTGGTGTTAACTTTCCAAAAATATCCTTGAGTGTGATGAATAAAGTATAATGTGATGAGTAGATTAATACTGAAAAAGTATGATGTCGTAGGTATGTTAAGAGATAGTAACGCAAAAGTGACTTTTTAATAGAAATAAAAAAAATTGGGACAAATGAAAAAAGAAAAAGAGAAAAAATGCTGAGAAGAAGGATGTATTATTTGTTCATATATTTTCTCAATCCAATAAAGTTTAGAAATTAAAGTTATCATAACAAAGACTAAATTTTATGACCACATTCTCATTAAGACTTCCAAATATTTGCATGTCGGTCCCTTCCCTCATTTTCTCTCATCGTTCAAAGTACAAACCGTAAATTTAAAAATAAAACAATATACCTTACTTTCTAATGGCAATGGCAAAGAATTGGTTGGGTAGGGGTAATTGTGTAAAGCAGCAGCAAATTAATACCTTACTTTATATTTACATCACAAAGGTGAGCGCGCGCGGCGCCCCTACAAATGCCTTAGAGCATGTAGAAGCAAAAATGGAATGTCACACGGTGATGTGGAAAATTTGAACTAATCAAAAACATCTTAGTCAGCATGTGGTAAGTGAGTAGAGTGGCATGCTATGCAGTGGCAAGTCATTGTTTTTTACACTTTTTAATCTTTTTTTATGTATATTAATTATTAAAAAATTTGTAATTTATCTTTTTTTTTACAAAAATAGATATACATACTGTATTAAAAAGCAAAGCTATTTTCTTATACAAAATAAAAAATAAAAAAATTAAAAAAGAAAAAAAAAGAAAAAAATTTGCCTCGCAGGTTACTCGCAAGCCAAGTAAAAAATGGGGTGCCATGCCACGGTTTTGGAAGAGAAAGCTGAGTTGGCAGGGCGAGGAACTCACACCCCTCGCCGCTACTCATGCTCTTAAGAGGACCTGAGCAAGTATCACTTCAGTCGTGTAGTATTTGGGACGTTACAAGATAATTTTCTCTATCGAAAATCTCGAATCAAACATATAAATTTATCCTTACATTATAAAAATTTTTATATTTTATATTTCTTCATTAAACAATAAATTTATTTTGAAATTTGGTTTATGTTTTACTTGGTGTAAGTTATACTTTTATTCGAACTTTAATTTTTTGTAGATGAATATTAAAATGTTAACATATATTTGAAATACTACATTGTTATCATTCGTTTTTTAGTGTGTGAAATATAAACTAAGTTTTAATAAGCATTTCTTGCATTTAATTATTATTCATTACTTAGTTTTTTTTGTTTTTATTTAAATGTACTTTTGATTTTTAAAAAACAAAAAGGGTTAATTTGTTATGTGTAAACTTGGTACGTATGTATTCTTTCTGATTTGTACCGAAACCAGTATAATACCAAATCATCTCAAACATACCCAACCGATATTCCGTTATCGTGATTGGTACAACGTAAAATTCATACTGAACCAAAATATGTGATCCGGTACCGGCCGGTACCGCGGTACAGACTAAATATCGTATCATACCGGCTTACCATGCTTACCCATAGTTTTGGATCATCCTATAAAGATATTCTCAACATAGATATTATACAAAATAATTTGAAATGTTAGTCCATATCAATATCATAGTAATGTTCATGAAATAACTTCAATTATTATGGACCTAAGATTTACACAATTTTAGATGAAAAAATCAACCAAAATAAGAGTAAAATATTGACTTTATCTCCAAAATAATAATCTTTCATTTGACTTTTCATGATTTTTAATTTAGTATTTTGACCATTAATTATATCGATACATGTAGCTATACACACACACACACACACATACACACACACACACATACACACACACAGAGAGAGAGAGACACAAAGTTAATATTTCAAAATTAAATTATGTTTCAAAAGAAAAATATATATCTTATATTTATATCATATTTTTTCACAAGTAGAAGTGAAAATTTACAAACCATGACAAAAAAAAGTTAAATGAGAATATTAAATTTGGATGAAGAAAATAATATTTTACATTGTCTTTTTGTACTACATACTCCATCTAGTCCTAAAAATCTTTATATACTCCCCCGTCCCATATCTTTCTTCCTATAGCACTATTATAACTTCAGAGGACTTTTATTTATTTGCATTTTTTATGATATATATGATAAAATAAAATATTTTTATCACCACTTGTTTTGTTGAACTTTTGATGTAAATTTTAAATATATAAGCTTTATTTTTCATTTCTATATTAATATTTAAATAAAATAGATTGAAAAAACTTACATCATGTTTGGTTCAAGGAATTGAGGAAGAAAGGAAAATGAGAAGGAAAAGAAAAGAAAAGAAACTCAAAATTCTAGTTATGTTTGGTTAAGATGGAAATTGATGAAGAAAATGTATTCTCAAACTCTTTTTCTTTGGTTAGAAGGAAATTTGGTGAGAAAACAATGTAAATCCAAATTTGAACCCAAAAGATTTTATTGACTAATATGTTTATGACTCCAGCGCCACTTCAATTGCTCCAATACACATCTTTTGTTTCTTCATCATCATGCAATTTAATTAACATAAACAAAAATATATAACCAAACAAAAAGAACTTGCAATTTAATTAATTACAATTCGAAGAGAATTAGTTGCTGTTAAAGGACTTCACATTCTGTCCAATTCGAAGAGAAAAGAAGAAGAGGAAAACACTCCACTTTATTGTTGAGTTCTCTTGTTTCCAAACAAGGGACAGAAGAAGCATTTATTCATTTATTTTCATTGACAATTGGGATGATGATCATCCATGGTTATTCATCTCTTCTTGAGCACTACTGTAAAAGCTAACAGTTGTATTCATGAGAACACAAGGATAGAGAAATAAAGTTTAGAGACGGGATTGCGATTGTTTATCGCAGCAATTAGGGTTGCGATCGATGTTCAGAGATAAGAGGCACGATCAAGTTCAGAGATGGGTGAGCGAGAAGACATGGCAGAGACGGGAGCGAAGGTTTCAGAGATGGGAGCGATGGATTCTCTCGTTTTCCGTCCAAAATCGGAAGGAAAATGATTTTACCCTTTTTAAATTCATTTTCTCTCCACTTTTCTTTTCCTCTCACTTTTCCTTTGTTTTTCTCACTAACCAAACATAAAAAACATTTACTTCCTATTTTCTTTTCTTTTCCCAGCCAAAATTCTTGAACCAAACATAGTGTTAAGGTTTTTCTTCGTTTTACTTAACGAGAAGAAAAGTATGAGATGGAAGGAATATTTTTTTTCAGATTAATATTTTCTTTTTCAAAAAAAGAAAAAAAGACTTCAAATATGAAAGTGTCCACTTTGTTATTTTAAAAGTTCAAAAACTAAACAAAACAAAAAAGCATTCCGACTTTTCCTTTTACGCATGTGAGTGACTTGAAAAATCAACGCTTTCTCGCGTCATCTAGTTGTGAAATGATCGAATTACCCCCATTCAGATCCTCATCCGGCGAAACAGCGAGGGCAATCCCGTCTTTGCACACCCAAGTCAACTTTCCAAGCAAAAACAGCCCGCTGCTCAACGACGAAATGCACACATCAATCATCATCACTTCCAAGCTTCCATGAATGATTGATCGCAATAGTGAGGAATTCATCGCGTTTCAGCCTTTCTGCAATCACGATTTCTGCCGGAATGATTATTTCGATGTTCTTAGATTCGTAAATTGATGTATCTCGCTCGCTTCACTATATCGCTGTTTTAGTTTTTTTTTGTTTCTGGAGACGAATTTTGAATTTTATGATCTACTGATGTGTGTGTGTGCAGATTGATATTGGTTGAATGGTATCTGTGTCTGTTGCTCAAGGCTCATGGAATTCTGGAGTTGATGATTTCCTGAGTTGTTGATTCGGTAGCTGTGCGGGGGCGAGATGGCTGCAATCGCTTTGCCGAACGGGTTACTTCCTGCTACTGTTCCGTGTTGTTCTAGCGACTTTCCGAGCTCGAGTGATGGCCGTGTTTCATGTTTTCGTTTCAAGTGGCATCATGTGACTCGCAATCGATTTTCGATTCAGGAAAGGTCAGAAGCTTTGATTGCTTGGATAAGGTTTTGCAAGTGTTAGAAATTAGAAATGGCTAATCTAAGATGGAAGCCGTTGATTATATTGCTTTCTGGTCATTTGTGCAGAAGACGGTTTTGTCCGAATCAATGGAGCAGCAACCCAAGGCTTGTTGTTTCCAGGAAAATGGTGTGCATATTCCCGTTTTTTCCAATTTAGATGTAGAACCCTTTTTTTAATGTTGTAAAAACATTTAGTTGCTTCACTAGGACACCAAGCAGGCCGCATGCCCGGTCTAATGTCTACTCTTGATTGATTTAATAATAGGGTTTAGTTCAGATTTAAGTGGGATTGAAGGGGTGGGAAGAGGACTTGAACATGAAGAAAACATGGTTGTCCAAGAACCTAGTGCTTGGAAAGGATTAATTAGGACTAGAGGCCTGTTTGGGAATAGCGTCATCAGAGTTAGAGTTTAGAGTTTAGCTATTTGAATCAGAGTTAATGGTTAGTTGTTTTCTTTTTTATTGTTTGGCAGTTAAACAATTAAAAAAGCTAATGCATTGTAAATTACTAAAATACGCACTTGAACATGTACTAGGCGTCTTGTTGGTACAATTTCATGTAGAGAGTTCTAACTGTGTCATTCTATTGATTTCTGATTACAGGGTGATTCTAGTGAAAGTTTCATTAATATTCTTGATGAAAGTGATAGTAATCCACCAGTTATTGATGAAAATGAACTGTTGGAAACTAGGAAAGCTTTGGCAGAGGCTCAGGCCAGACAAGAATCTGCCGAGAAGGAGAGGGACCATTTGCTTGAAGAGTTGGCTAGATCTGAGGCCAAACAAAGAGATTATGTGAATGCGCTAATGCACGATAAGGAAATGACTATTGCAGAACTTGATTCAGCAAAAGCCATGTTTAATCAGAAGCTAGAAAAGTCTGTAGATGAGAAATTCAGTTTGGAGTCTAAGTTGGTGCTTGCAAAGCAAGATGCCATTGAGCTTGCAGTGCAGGTTGAGAAGTTGGCAGAGATTGCTTTCCAGCAGGCAACCTCACACATTTTAGAAGATGCACAATTGAGAGTTTCTGCCGCGGAAACTTCTGCTGCTGTGGCAGCTTATCAAACTCAGGAAAAAATACGAAATGCCACTGAAGGTACCATTTTTTCTATTGTGCAGCAGTCTAAAGACGCAATAGAGAAAGCTCTTGCTGTGGCAGAATCAGCTGGTGACCAAACGAGTAAAGCTGTCACAGTGTTTATGGATGACATGAGTTCAGTTGAACAGATTGCGTCTATCCAATCTCTAAATGTCAAGTTACAAACTCTTGTTAAAGACTTGGAATCTCAGTTGTTGATACATAAAAATGAGATCGAGAGGTTGAAATTAGAACTAGAAATGGCGAGGCAACAAGCGGTTGCATTTGAAAACCGGGCAAATAATGCTGAAAGAGCACTGCACGAATTTCAGGGTTCAAGCAGAAAAGCATCAATACAGCGTGAACAGGAAATGAACTCATTATTGGAAAAAATGAAAAAAGATTCTGCTGAAAAACGGAAGGCAGCTTCAAAGGCTTTTAAGAATGAAATCGAGAGTATTAAGGCTGCTATTGAAGCAGCTAAGGAGACTTCTCGCACACGAGATGAAGCCTACATGCGAAGATGTGATGCATTGCAGAGATCTCTGAAAGCCTCTGAAGCTGCTACAAATATGTGGAGGCAAAGAGTGGAAATAGCTGAAGCATTGTTACTGAAGAAAAATTCAACTGAAGCGGAGGTTGATGATGCCATTTACGTCACTAATGGTGGAAGAATCAAGCTATTGATGGATGATGATTCACAGAAATGGAAACTTTTAAGTCATGGTCCTCGAAGAGATATACCCGTTTGGATGACACGAAGGATAAACTCCATCTGTCCTAAGTTTCCACCTAGGAAGAAAAGCATATCAGAAGATACAGCTTCAAGGTTTAAATCCTTGGAATTGCCTAAACCTCAAGAAGTATGGTCAATTTTCACAGAAAAGCCAAAGGAAGGAGACATTCTTATTGAACACGTGATTGAAAAAGAAATCATCGAAAAGAAAAGAAAATCTTTGGAGCGTGCTCTTCAAAGAAAAACAATTAAATGGGAAAGAACTCCTGAAGAAACAAAACTAGGTGCACTTCTGAAATTTCAATTACATTACTACCGCATTGAAGCATCTTGCACAATCAAATGTATAATTCTGTTATTCTGATTATTTGTGATGCAGAACCAGGAACAGGTACCGGGCGTGAGATAGTGGTTAGTGGACATTTAACACCCTATACATGATTACATGTCTAAACTGAGTAGTCTTTGAGTTGTTTCTATTGCAATTGAAAAATCTCCAGCCATTATGCTTAGAAATTTAAGGCTAAGAATAGCAGTGTTAGTAGAAATCCTCTAAGGTACAACCGAGCTTTATTTTTCTGCAATTGGCTAGAAGCTCTTATTGCCTGGATCCATCATGGTTGCATTAGGAAAAATTAACTTCTTTAGATGAAAAAAGGATCATCACTTATTACTTTATGTTACAATCTAGTTTTTAATACTGCATTAGCCGCTTTTAATCATAGGTTCGTACTTGCTAAAATAGAAAGATCATATGAGATACCTATCAGATCAAAATAAATGTTCACCTTAACTCTCCACCAACCTTTCATTCTTTTGCTTGAAGAACTAATCTTAGCCTCTTGGGGTGTCATACTTTCTATGTCATTTGAATGCTAAAGTTTCATCATATCCAGTGCACAATTAGATATTATTTGTAATTTTTTTGCTGGGTAGATAAGTAGATTTGAGTTTCAAAAGCCTCTTATAGCATTAAACCTTATCAGTTCCAAGCTTTTAATTGGGAAAGCTGGAGAAGGCGGTGGTACCTTGAGCTTGCTTCTAAAGCTGCTGATTTGTCACGTTCTGGTGTGACGGCAGTGTGGTTCCCACCACCAACAGAATCTGTTGCTCCACAAGGTTTGCATTTTAAATTTTTGTTAATGAAGTCAATTTTCCTTTTAGATGGCGAAGGCTTCTTGTACTTAATTATTCTTAATGATAACATATGTTGTGTTCGGTAGAACTAACACTGCCAAACAATGTGTTACAGGTTACATGCCATCTGACCTTTACAACTTGAATTCTGCTTATGGGTCCGAAGATGAGCTTAAAAACTGTATAGAGGAAATGCATAACCATGACCTTCTGGTAGTGTGTAATCATAATCTGTACCTAAGAATATGAATGATCTCATTTATGAATTGGCTTGTTATCTGTTTGTGAACCATTATTACTAATTTTGGATTTTTCTGTTAAATGACATAATTTTATATTTAAAACATTGCAATATATGTGCAGGCCTTGGGGGATGTTGTTTTGAATCACCGTTGTGCTCATAAACAGGTAATCCTTTCTTAAATTTTCCACTTTTATACTTGATTTAATATGAATATGGTATCATTGTTCTTGATGGTGTTATTATTGCAAAGTGTACATCTTTTGAGATTATTATGTTCTCATCAACAGGAAACACTTTCTCATTTTATTCAAAACTTGTCAAAAACTTTGTTCCACACCCTTATGTCTTTGATATGATTAAGTACTACTGGACTAGGAAATCTTTCACAATTCATTGCTCATTTCCTGGTTGAACTCTAAACAGGGTAGATCAAATTGTGTAGCAAAAAAATAGGATAGACCTAATGCCCATTGAAGCTCATGAGTTACATTGAAAATGAAAATGTTGATGTAACGATGTGCATCAAAGTTTATGGTTTACATTGAAAATGAAAATAAGAATCGTAAAAATAGTGCATCACTTGGATTGCAGAGTCCAAATGGCATCTGGAATATCTTCGGAGGCAAGCTAGCATGGGGCCCAGAAGCGATAGTTTGTGATGATCCAAATTTCCAAGGGCGGGGAAATCCTTCAAGTGGTATACTTATTGTTTTTGCAGAGATGTCTTGCCAGCATGCATTGTTATCTTCTGTGTACATGCTGGTTATTGTCTGACGGCATACACAATACATGGCCTGCCAAAGCTAAATGAAATGCAGAGTATTTCAAATAATTCATGCTCTTGCACAAATATCTTGCAAGTTTTATGTGATTAGCCCGTTATCTTTCTTCCGGCAGCTCCTTTGGAGTAATGACACCATTCCCAGTATATACGTCTCCCAAAAGATATTGAAGTAGATAACAATATAGTTTCCATAATTTTCACCAGTAAATATAGCCACGTAATATTCTCTAGCAGCTTGCAAACATGTACTCATTATATTTATATACCAAACAATAATTTAATAGAGATGATCAGCTTCTCTGTTCAAACTTATACATGGTTTTAAGGTTTGATTACACTCTCTTATGTTGGTCCTGAATTTGTTTTTTTGTTTCATGTACCATCAAAAAGTATCTTTAATTGACATCCTTGATCCTTCTGTATTTTAGCAGCTTCATATTTTGACTTGCTTATAAAATGTAGGTGATATCTTCCATGCTGCACCAAATATAGATCATTCTCAGGGTTTTGTACGGAAAGATATAAAGGAGTGGCTGAATTGGTTGCGAAACGAAATTGGGTTCGATGGGTGGCGTCTTGATTTTGTGAGGTGAAGGTGTATACGAGTATTTAACAATCTTTTTAATTTCAGGTTTTATTTTATGTAATACTCCGTAAATACTAGATATCAAGTCCTAGCTTCTAAGATTATGTTTTGGGAATGAGACGTCAATAAGTTGAAGATTCTTAGTTTGAGATTTTCAGTTGAGCTGAGACTTGTTGATGTGTTTATCCTCATAAGACTTCTAGTCGTGTAGAGTGTTCAATAAAAGTTTTATATCATTTTGTTTGCAGAGGTTTTTCTGGTGGATATGTGAAAGAATATATTGAAGTTTCAAACCCTGCTTTTGCTATTGGAGAGTACTGGGATAGTCTTGCATATGAAGGTGGCAATTTGTGTTACAATCAAGGTGAGGATTTCATGCCAAGTAACGAATTGTACATTGTACTCCATGTGCTTTGCTTCACAACGCTATAGCATATGAAATATAAGTTGAACTTCTCTTTGCTTTTTTAATTATCTGGATTGTTATATTTCATTGCACGTCCAGATGCTCATCGGCAACGCATAGTTAATTGGATCAATGCGACTGGTGGTACATCTTCAGCATTTGATGTCACAACAAAGGTATTGTAGACTTGTTCTGTTTTCATACATTGAAGTCAAAATCTGGGTCTTGTTTGAAATTATAAATGTACATTTTATATTTCCCTTGTCTGAGTTCATTCCAATTTACTTATTTAGTTTATCCATGAGAAAAGCACTTGCTAAGTAAGATTCTGTCAACTATCAAATTATTCAATGATCGAATCACATGCATAGAAAGAATTGTTTTTTTTACTACAAGAATTGTTTTGACCAAGCTTCTTCAATATGGGGTATTTTTAAAAAAAAAAATTTGATGGAAGGTTTGAATAATAAAGTTAGAGATATAGCCGTTTAAACAAACTACAATGGACTAATAGGAAAACTTTTTGAATATATACTCCGGTATTTTTCAGTGCATGCAAACTGAAGATAGCAGCCTCCAATTTTCTGCAGGGTATACTTCATTCTGCTTTGCATAATCAGTATTGGAGGTTAATTGATCCACAAGGAAAACCATCAGGGGTAATGGGATGGTGGCCTTCACGTGCAGTGACATTTTTAGAGAATCACGATACCGGATCAACACAGGTCTCTCTCTCTCTCTCACGTACAATGTGCAACAGAGTTGTACAGTTTCATAGATTTACAGCTATTCAAGGCTATTGTCTAAACTCAGAGATCACATGTAATCATGTAAAATGCTAGAGAAGTAACTTTTGTGTGTTTGGTTTTACTTAAGGAAATGCCAATGAAAACGATACGAGTATATAATTAACTCTTCTACATGTATTTAATTTTTTTAATCTGCACACATAAAATAGAAATATAATGTAGTGGGTTGAGATGTACGCAACCTTACCCCATAAAAAACAGATGCTGTTTCGGTTACACATATGGTGCATGCTGCATATACTCCTCAAAAACTTCATACAAATTCCCTTTTTTCCATTTACCCTCAATATTTTCCTTCCAATTTTCTCTCCCTACTATTATCCGAGTTGTTGGAGTAAAATAGACCATGATAGATTAACTTGCCACACATTGATTGCAAATTTCTCAGTTATCAATTATGCAACAGATACACGTAGAATCAACGCATATATGTGCACTATTGGATTACGCTCTCTTTCATTGATGTGTGATAGGATCTAATGGTCTTTAAAAGCCTACGGGGCACCTCCCATGTGGGTGCGTCAAACTAGCCGGATAGGCAGATATTATTTTTGAGATTGAGATGATGGGTATAATAACTTTGGATGGGCAGATATTATACTGTCTTTGGATGGGTATAATAACTTGTCGTGGTCCTCTAATACTCTATATGCTAATCAAGTTTTTCTTGAGTTCTGCCGCCAATGGAGTTGAAATGATGCTTGCTGTTTCTTAATAACAAGTTGTGAATTTCTCTTTCAGGGTCATTGGCCCTTTCCACGAGATAAACTTACACAAGGATATGCATATATATTGACACACCCTGGAACAGTAAGTCTTGTAGTCCCAAAATTTCTTCTTAAGAGTTATTTGGCGGAAATGTCTTTTGAATGTCTTCAGGGGATAAACGTTTGGTAACATTCGTTTAGGTCAAATTAGTAAGTCAATAGTGTTTTGTAGAAGAACTAAATTTTAGTGGCTTTGCTTGCATATATAAACATATGGGCAATAGACAATTTTAGTGGCTTTGCTTGCATATATAACTTGCAGAATGCATTTTAAAAAACTAAAAAACACACATTAAGTTTGGATAGTAGCATTTAATTTGGAATTCTGGATTTGAGTAAAAATCATGTGTTTGGGAATTCAAAGAATATTGGTTTTTTATTTGTATCAAATCACACTATCCGAAATGCTCAGTTATTAACGTTTTAAATTTGGATTCCAACATTGTAAATTCTATTAGGTAGTGTTTGGGAACTAGCTTTTTATTTCAATTCTTACATTTCAATTCCAAAATTTGAATTCTTAAATTTCAAATGACAAGGAGAGACATATGGATTTGCAATTGAACTTTGTAATGGATTAAAAAAATTTGCATAAAATCCAAAATTTTAAGATTTCCTAGACATTGAATTTGAGCCAAATCTGGATTTGAAATTCAAATTCCAAATCCCAAACATGCCGTTATTTAAGTCCATAATTTCAATTCAATTCCTTGAATCCAAACACCACCTAATGTTACGAGCCTGAATGGACTTTGTTTGCAGCCAGTGATATTCTACGACCACTTCTATGATTTCGGAATCCGCGAAATCATAACGGAGTTAATCGAGGCACGGAGGCGGGCGGGGATACATTGTCGGAGCACTGTGAAGATTCAACACGCAAACAATGACGGGTACGTCGCGCAAGTTGGGGATGCTCTTGTGGTGAAGTTGGGCCACTTTAATTGGAACCCTTCAAAGGAAGTGAACCTGGATGGCACATGGAACAAGTTTGTGGAAAAAGGTTCAGATTATCAGGTGTGGCTTAGGCAATAAATTTCCCCTCCTCTCTTCTCATCTCTTGCCTTGTCTTTTGGTTCCAAATTTACTTCCTACTTTAAAAAGGGGGACCCGTTCGGCAACAGATTCAATGTTTTGCTCTGGCGTTTTGAAAATGTTATTTAACAGTAACGTTCTAGCTTAGTTGTTTTCTAAGTTGATCTTTACAATTAAAAAACGTTTCAAAACGCTAAATCAAAACGTTGTTCTCAAACGAGGCCTTAGAGATCATCACGTGTCTTTAAAGGAGCCCTTAGTAGAAGTGCAAGGTAAGATTTCACTCCCTCCTTCCATGTATGTATAGGCGATCTGACTAGGAAAAAAAATTAATTAGCAAATGCTTATTGGCTTATTCTAGCACCAATCCATTGTTTATTGTTTAAAGAAATATTGGCCTTTTGTTTTGTCTTGTAGCCTTATTCTAAACGTGTGTTTTGGTATTTTTAGTCTTTTATTTTAAGTGTATTTTCTAGCTTCTTTTTAGCTGACCAAAATATCATCTATGTTATTTCAACTATTTCACATGTACTCCGTAACAAATTATCTCGAATCAAAGTTTGATATACGCAGTATTTATTAAAAGAAAACAAATCGATCCATATAAAACTAAAAGATAACATGTTTTTCTGAATAAGATCAAGTATGTTTTATTCTTTTGATGGTACATATTTTTGTTTGATCTGTCATATATGTCCTCATGAGCAACAAGTGTTGGATAATGATTAATTATCCGAATGATTCTGCGAATATGGTCATTAGCAACAAGTTTTGGATAATTACTAATTAATTGAATGACTATTCAAATTGTTTTTAATAATGTCTTATTCTACTTGAATTGTGTAATAGGTCATTATTTTATTAACAGGAGACATTATTAATATCCATTTGTAGTCATTTTGAATATTTTTCATTTTTCTGGTTATTAGCAGCGCACTCACATTTTCAATGACAAAGCATTTTAAAAAAATTTATTGTCAAATGTTAGAGTAGATATGACAGGTAATATTTTGGGGAAAGGTGATACCTTTAAATCTTACTCCGTATTTGTGTAAATTACCCTTAAAAATGTCACACACATGGATACTTATAGGAAATGTTTCTCTGTGCTGATGCTTGTTGACTTATTATTGATAAATAACTTTTAATTTATAATCTACTTATAAGTCATATATTCTTTCGTAGAAGTAAAAGACTTAAATGGGAGATAGGTCATTTGCGAATATTCATAAATGGAGAGCGATAAATTTGTAAATAATCTAATTAAAATAGAGAAACAAAAAAATGGCTTAAAAGTAAATAAATAAGGCTTGCTTATTTTTCTGGCTTATGAGCAGATTATAAGTCAACTTATAAGCTTACAAAAATATGTCATCAACTGACTTATAAGTTAAAAACTGTTTATGAGCAGTTTTGACCCGTTTATAATCACAGAAAAACACTCATGCACACAAAACTCTTTGCTGGAATTTTTTTTAATTAGAGGTTAGGACCTCACCTCCTACTAAACACAACCTTAGTGTAAGTTTGATGAAATGGCAAAAGGGGTAATGGGAAAAGGTGAGTGGAAAAGAGATACTTGTGAATTTCGAGTCATTTTCAGTTGGATTATGCTATGTGTACCCCAACATTTGTACCTCAATTTGTACCCCGCAGTTTTGCACCAACATGTTGTGTTGGTGTAAAACTAATTTTTGTTAAACGTACCAACATTTGTGTCTGTGTGAATTTTTATTAACGCACCAACACTTGTGTCGGTGTAAACCATCGAAATGATTGTGCAAACCTGTGATGTACAAATGGGGTATATTTGTTGGTGTAAGTATAGCATGGTCCTTTTCAGTTTTTTACATGTGTTCATGGGACGAGTGGACAACAAGTGTAGTAGGAGCGTGTTCTAGGTATTAAAAAAATTGTTTCTATGAAGTGTTAGATAGTACTATACTACTAGTGCTCCGTAAAAGAATAAAGGTACTTGTATACCAAACTAAGGATTTACAAATAAACTTTAAAGCTGAATCATGCCTTAAAGTTTCAATTCTGAGTTTATGTACTCAATACTGGGTATCTATTTGAACTGGTAATCCGGGTCAATCGATTCGGGTATCTATTAAAGTTCGATTTCGAGTTAAATTCCGTTTGATTTTTTTCTGGTTTTGAGTCGGTTCCGATTCGAGTTTATATCGGTTCAAGTTGATACCAATTCAAGTTTATACTTGTTTCAGATGAGATCCCTTGGTATTAGAGTTTCCAATGTTAGCATTATGTATAGCCTCTCCTTCATAGGTGTTAAGGGGTATTGTACAAGTGTGAGCAATAATGAGCTAGTATATCCATTAATGTGTGTTACAATGTCACTATAAATTATATACTCTCGATAAAAATAGACAATAATCTTAGTTTAAGTGATAAAATATAGAGTAAAAGATTTGTACATTAAATCAGAAGTACCTATAATTCACATATATATTTTTCTTAGAAGACATCAACGAATGAGTTATTAGGTTTGTCTGAGTTTGAGTTTAATTTATTTTGAACTTGATCAATATTGGGTCTAATTAGCTTTTGGGTCTAATCATTTTTGAGTCTAATCAATTTTGGGGTCTAATCGATTCTGGATTTAATCGGTTTGGGTCTAACTGGTTCGGGTTCAATTAGATTCGGATATGAATCTGGTCTGTATACCTTTGGTTCGGTTCGGATCATTTCGGGTGTTCGGGTTTAATTCGATTCTTCAGTTTTTGGGTCATATTCGATTCGATTCCAGGTTATTTGGTTCGAGTTATCGGGTCCGAATCAGTTTTGCCACGTTTAGTATCTATGATTCTTCTTTAAAAAAATCCCCTTATTAGTGATTGTTTGAAATTTACAAGTTTTTTTGGCAAAAAAAAATTCAAAATCATATACAGAGTACATTTTTGTGGAGTAATATATAGGGTAGTATATAATTAAACAAAAAAAGAAATGAAATGTTAAAAGTGGCATAGAGAGCGGAAGAGTCTACCGAATGAGCAATGACACCAAATGTTGGAAAATGGAAGGTGAGCCGTAGACATTAGTAAAACATGCACATGTAATAAGTGCATTCTGCGGAATGACATATGCGGTTTGCCAATGCTCAATCAACGACTAAGATTATTTCCAAGGATAAATCAATGGTGAATATGGCACTACAAATTGGGTGGGAAAATTGTAGTATATATGAACTGTCCCTGCTTTTAGATATATTCTAGATATAAATTAATGATAATACAGAAACATTCTCTCAATTTTACATAGATAAGAGTGCATACATTTTGACTCTAATATGTGAACAAGGTTGAGATGATACTCAACTTATTTATCTAAATTAGACCTGACAAAAATTGATTCGAACTATTTTGTGGATATCCTATCTGAAGTATTCTGTTTTGAAAAATAAATTTTTGAGCAAATATGAAATAATCTAATAAAAATAGATCTAAATAAATTTGATCAGACTAAACCCAGATATGATCTAATTGACATGTTAACGTAAGATTTTTTAAAATCATTTATATTAGTTTAAAATACTTTGTGTAATGCAATAAAAATCATGAATTTTTTAACTCTTTTTTAGGTCATGTTCTCTTCACTTGATCTGATTGGTTCTAATCTAATTGGAATAAATTTCGATATGATCTGATTTGAATGTAAATATATTTAAAGCTATTTTTGATCTGATTTGGTCTAATTCCAATAAGAATAAGTGATAAGTAAAAAGAATAAGTTGAATATATAAGTTGCTGATCTGGTCTGATTCCAAAAAGAATGAGTTGATTTTGGAATCTGATCTGGTCTGATTCCAAAAAGAATAAGTTGATTCAATAAGAATAAGTTGAATATATAAGTAAAAAAATAAGCTGATCTGGTCTGATTTGGGTTTAGTCTGATCAAAATATTTCAGTCAGACATCGCAAACCAAACAAAAGCCTTATTTCAAACCTAAAGGAGAGCAAATAAATACTGTTTCTAAAATATTTTATTTACATGATATTCCTCGAAATAATTGTAAACAAGTTGTAACATTTATTTTCAAATTTACAAAATTATATTTAGAGTTTTATTTATCATATTCTCTACATATAAATTTAAATATTTTTTCTATATTTAATGAGTTTTTCTATTTCGAAAGTGGACCAATTTGACAAAATACTCAATTAAAAATGATAATTTTGGGAGATTGATCAAGTTTTAACTAGTATCATCTCAATAATTAATTTATCTTAGAGACTGATATGAGAAAACATAAAATTGTTAAGTATCATTTTGAAAATTTATTCAAGAATCAATTTTAGGGCTGCATTTGGAAAAAAAACTAAAGTAGGAGTATATTTTTATTCTTGAAACGAGAGTTAAAATATATTTATAGTGGCAATTATGATCATATATATTACAAAAAAAATATTGTGAAATGTCAATGTATAATGTTGTATTACCACAATGCGAATTCCTATATAAATGATACTTTCCCTATATTTTGGCACTTTCAGTATATTTTAGTCTATGTATAAAACTCCTATTTTGATACTTTTCTTTTCCCTTTGTAATTTTGGCGGAGTATTTATGTTAGATTCAAAGGCCAAAGGGAAAGGAGAGTGCCTCCCTCCTCGCGTCGCTACATCATCATCATCATCATCATCATCATCAATACCCTTTAGGCTTTAGACGACTGATCTCTAGGGCAAGAGAGAGAGATTTATCTTTTTATATATTTATTTATTTGTGTAGAGCAAAAATATATAGTCCAATCCATATCTATATTATTATTATTATTATATAATATGGGTGATCTGATTGAATCAATTGAAGAAGAAGAAAGTCCCAGAAACAAAGATGGTGATGATGAAAATTCTCCAGCCATTGTTTCTTCCTTTTCATGGCAGAAAAGTCTGATCTTTGGTTGGTTTTCCTCTTCTCTTCTGATTCTGATTCTTCTTCCCCCGGACCTCAGCTATGGAATTTCAAAACCCGGATTGATTTCGCTTCCGGGTTCAGTTTCCCTTTCTTAGTACAGACTGAAACAATTTTGCGGGGTATGAGACTTGTCCCATATCAACAGGTATCAAGGGTTTATTGTCATCTCTTTTGTTTTTCTTTACAAAAATTGGAGTTAGTTTGGGGGGGAAAGAAGTTGTTGGAAATTTAGTTCTTAGAAAGTTTGATTTGATGATCTGTGAACAGTCAAACCATTGTGCTATGCTTCTTCAATTAAATTCAAATTATATCTTTTTTCTTTTTTTTCTTTCTAATTTTGTAATTCTAATCATCTCTTAACCTAACATGAGTAGTTTGTGCTCTGTAGAAGGGTGATATGCAGTTATAAGATTAAAAAAGAAAATTGGGGAAGCAGCCATTCATTCAAAGGAATAAAAACTTTAGGGCATTTGTCAAAGTAAATGTATATATTTCAATGAATGAATGCAAATATGCAAAGCAATGGCATAATAATTTTCATCTTTGTAACAGGCAGAGAAATGTTGGAGATGATGACTACTCCGCAAACGTTTATCAATCTTGGTGATTCTTGCAGAGGTAAATCGCGCTTCATGACATTCTCCCCTGTTTTTAAAAGGCTGCTTTCTATATCCTCTTATGGCATTCCTTTCATCTTTTTAGTTCTAATTATGTCAACAAAGCTTTGATACCATGTCAATGAATCAAAACAACTAAAAGCCCAAGCTTGTAGTCGTAGGTCAAGTAAACGTTTTTATTACTCTCTTTCTCCCATAAAAAGAGCCAATCTTGTCCCCTAAAAAACAGAATATGCGTACTTTTGAACATGTTAGAGAAACAAGGCACCCTCTATGGGACAAAACTAGTTGAAAAATTAGATTCTCTTCAAGTGACGGAGGAATATTACTTGTTCTTTTTATGATCAAAGTAAAAAAACAAAAAAAAAACATTAGAGAAGAGTTTGTCTTATGAGTAGTAACTGTAAAGAATCTAGTTGGATGAAGGGTGGGGGTTGGGGGGGGGGGGGTATCCACTTGGTATTTCATAGGTGATGGCATTGGGTTTGTAGGTAATGGGAGGATATTCAAGAGTGTGCTAATAAGGGTGGTACCCAAGCACTTAAGGGAAGAATAGGGTCTCACCATTCACCAATTGTGACTTTTGTTCCCCATCAAGTATGCATGCTATTTTACATTTTAATGATCATCTTCCCCATTAAATAGCATTTACATCAGGAATTATGTCATAGTGCTCTAAAAATGATCAATAAAACAACTCTAAAATGAAGATGAAAAAGAAAAAATCACAGGTTCATCTTTTCCAGACAACACAGGCAGCAGAGAGACTCTCCCATTCTCACCAGCCCTTGGAGTCAAAACTTCCCTCTCCAAAGATCTCCTCAATCATACTGCATGTCGGTAAGAAATCAAGATCAATTTCAGGGCTGCTGCTGCTGGTATTTTCCCACAGTAATTTCGTGTCGTACGAATCTAAAGTGTTATATCTATTCCACTCTAGACAACCATCAGACTTCGAGAGGCAACTGCCACCTTGTACTCCTGAATCCGAAGATGTGCTCGATCCTCCATCTTGAGTACCGTTTTCTCCCTCATCGGACTTCTTGACATGAAGCTCAAAAGCAGGTTCCGAATCAGTTTCATATTCCTGCTTCTGAGGGCCGTTATCATCAAGACCATCTTGGATAGTAGACTCTTCATTGTCACTTCCCTGCCATTCATCATTGTCGCTGTCAATGTTCAATGGGTCCAACCTGTTCTGCTCTGCTCGCTTCCTGAGCATGTTGACATTGAAGTAGTAACTGACAATCTCCATCTTCGTCCGAGAAGGAAACACAGCAGAAAGAGCCTTCCAGAAATCCTTGCCGGTCGAGGCTGGGTTAGAGTAAATGATATCATCAAACAACTCCTCTTCCTCTGCACTCCACTTTTCTGCCACAACTTCCCCCATGTCGTTAAAACCCAGCTCCGCGAAAGTAGCCTGACCAAAAGTTCTCCTCAGTCTATCCCTAGCTTCTGAAACGTGCTGCCTCACACATCGGATGGAACCCTTATCTGGACAATTGCACACGGTCCTACCATACCCAACTTCTTCATCAGTCTCAGAACTATGCAAGATGCTGATCCCAACATCTGGGACATTCTTGTTTTCCAGCGGGCCCCAACATGGAATTTCAGCTTGATGATCAGGTCCAATAGGAACATGCTTCCTGGGAGGATAATCCAACATGCAATTATGCAGATCATCGGAGTATATTGCTGGCCTAGCAGAGTAGTCAAAACTGCAATATCCAGGGGAGGAAGGAGAGTGAAACAGATCTTCAGGTGGCTCATCCTCATCACTAGTGCTATTACCGGAAGCCCATTGTGGCAATGATGCAGACCTTGTCACATCTCCTTTTCCCAGATTAGCCTCACCTGTATGATATCATTTGTCATTCAAGCAAGCAAACAAACAAACAATGAATAATAATTATAATATTATTCAAAGGCATCCCCACTTTTCAGTCAAAATGGTCACAACAGATCAAAAATAGAAATATCCCAATTAACAAAAGCAATACCACAAATTTAAAAGTACCATCTTTTTAGAATCTTGGCTAGACAAACAGCAACAATTAAAACCCATATCCCACAAAATCCATGACAATGAAAAGGACTGAATTGATTACTCTTTTAGCAAATAAGACTAAAAAGAAGGGAAATTTCCACGAGAGACGCAATGTAAATGCTGACCTACAAACTCCCTGCCTGAAACATAAGGTTTTGCAGATACACTTTCTATGGAAAAACTGTCATTACATAAGGTAATTTCATCACAGGGTCCATTCTGTCTCTTATGCTTGGAAGTACCTTCATAGACCATTTCATCACTAAATGCCCTTTTCTGTGCCATACTTAACTGCAAGAAAGAAAAGCTAAGATAAAGCATGAAGCTATCAAGAACTGTCAATTCAAACAAAAATGATAAAAGGATACAGTAATAGATGATATCCTTAAAACAATTATTCCCACGACACAAAATTGATAAATAACACAGAGCCTTACTGCACTTTTAAGGGATAGCATAAATGATTCTCACCAGTCTTAGGTAATGCGAGAGATATCAACCTAATCCAAACCATGAATAAACACATTTCGATACAATGGTACAAAACAACACCTGTAATGCATAACTGAGAAACACACACACAGAAATACATAATCCTAAGACTACATCATCAGAAAACCCAAATCTATGAAAACTATTTGCTTTATTTCTTCCCTAGTACTCCCATATATTCATGTAATGTCATCCCATTAGCATAGATATATCACTCATTCACCTAACAAACATGGCAAGAGTTGAGTTGCCTCATTCATCATTTGGATAAGGCTCCAACGAAAGCTGGAGAACTTAGGCCCTATAAGCAACGTAATCTCCCCACATTATGTGTCACAGCTGACACTTGCAGCTTAAGTGGAGACATATGGACTGGCTGCGGAAATGGAACTTAGACGAGCAGTATGGATTTATAACTAAGTGAAAGGAGTTCCAAATAAAGGACGATACTTGGTTACTTAAAATGCACAGTATAATTCTATTTCATAAAATAAAACAAAAGGGTGGGTGACGTCAGACTAGCCATATCTTCTAATACAGCCCTAATCGGGTAGGTGACGTACGCAAGGATAGACCCAAACAACCCGTTTTTCGTAAAATCGAAGAACTTCGAGAATTCCTAGAACAACCCTAACCGGAATTGATCCCAAGACTTCAAATCCAAGACCTAGGGTTTCAAATCGCAACCCCAAGATCCGTCCAATCGAACACGAAATCACGCAATCCGGGCCCGAAAATTCACGAAATCGACCCGAGCCGAGTCTAATCGTCGAAGATTTCAACCAAAAAACAGATCGGAGGTAGAGAGAGGGAGAGGCGTACCGCGACCAGATCGGCAGCGCGTGAACGCACAATAGACGATACGGAGGGTCTGGGAGGACAAATCGAAAGGCGAATCGGCGATCGGAGGCGACGTCCGGTGAGATCGGTGGATGCGGCGGCGGCGGCAGAGAGATAATAAAAGAATAAAGATTAAAAAAGGGGATCTAGGGTTTGTGGGCGTGGGTGGGGGTGATGAAGATTTGACTAATTGTGGGGTGGGGTCCCGTTGCGGGGGGGTTTGACGATCCTAAATTGTAATTTCGCACCACTCTATAATTTCTTTTGCCTTCTTATATTTTGCGCATTACCCCAATGGGTTCATACCACAATTTTTCAAAATTGGATCGGGCGGAACTAGAAATTGACTTTCTAGTGGGAAGGGCTAAAACTAAATTTATGGAAGTATACTTTACTTACTATGTTCCCATTGAAATTTCGATAAATTACCATGGTGTGTTTGTGAATTTAAATTTGGATTTCAAATTTGAATTTGATCCAAATTACTTGCTTAGGAAATTTAAGAATTTGGATTTGAATTCGGACGAAATTCTTTTAATTCAAAACTAACTCAACTATAAATTTACACATCTTCTCATGTCACTTACAAATTCATGTCCAATTTTTCTTTAACTAGTATTTTAACTCGTGTCATGCACGGGATCGAATACGGAGTACAATTTTTGTCAATTCTAAATTTTTTCAAGGTAATTATTCAAGTAAATATATTTCAAACACAACTTTTAATTAATGGACAACAACGACAAAGTAGAATAAATTATATTTAAAGAATTGAAAGTTTACTCGAATTTTTTTAAATTCAAATTTTTTGAAAGACTTCAGGGTACACAACATTTTTGGTATGGTTGTCAGGGTTTCAATTGTCATCTAGAGTCAATATATTTAATCATGTCTTTGCTTTTACTCGTGAATGAGTAACATAAAGTGGACCATGAGTAAATACCAAATTGGTAAAAAAAATAATACAACAAAAATAATATTTGACATTGAATTTTGTTAATAGTCATAACAAAACATAAGACTATTGAGAATTTTTTTTCTCTAGAATTTGAGAGGTACTCATGAATCGAATAGTACCAAATTCTCTCGGGGTATGTAAAATTTTTTCCAGTTTCGATTTCTTAAAACTTCAATTGCACTGATAATGTTCTTTCATAGTTATTCAATGATTAATCTTCTGCCATTACAGAATCTAGATGTTTGGTCAATGTTCTTCAACGTACCCCTTTTAAAAAAACTATTTTGTGGTTTGGGATCTCCAAACATTTGATTTCATTAAAAAAAACTCAACTATTATACAATCATCTTCAACATCTACATTTAAATCTTCTTGGCATAAAGAATCATAATTTAAGTACTCATTTTCACCTTCTAGAATAACGGATAGGACATATTCATTTACCATTCAACAAACTCGAGTGTGGGTGTTAATAGTGCACTGTCCTCAAAAAAGAATAATTTGATTTTTCATGCTCTCTGAAAGGTTCGGATAAGTGAAGTCCACTATACTCTTGAGAGAATAACTTTTTTCAAGAATCAAGAATTCGGGTGGGATTTCAACATTAGTAGTTCCGCCGATCACTAGTCCAAGTTTTCCATCTTCATATGGATTAATACGTTAAAAAAACTATCTTTATATTGAAATACCTTGATTCCACAATATTCTCCGCCGATCAATTAAAATTCTATCCATGAGGAATTCCTATAATGTTTCCAATACAATTTGTGGGTGGCTCATGGTACTTGTCACAAATAATGTGACGAACAACTTTCTTAGCAGATTCTCAAATCCTAACTTAGCAACCTCTTTTATTCGTGTATAAAATTCTTTATTATCAGTCATTAACCTTGATGTTTCACGGGCTTCCTCGAATGCGTTATGTAGAACATTGTTAACTATTCTTAAGCTCTTATAACTCGTACATCCTCGCCAAATAGTAAATAGTATTCTCAAGTAGTATAACTCCCTGGTTTCTGTAGGCACATGTTGTAGCCTGCCAATTTGTAGTCTTTGTTGCCTTGAAATCACTTCCACATTTTGTGGTTGTACACAAAATATTCAAGAAACTCTTTGCATATGTCAAATTTTACGTCGCATTATACTGTGCATTAGAAATCATCCAAGCTTCCAACATCTTTTAGCTTTTGTTAGTGTGTAAAGGTTACATATTTTAGCCTTACGAGATGGAAATTCAACCTCAATAGTGATAGACACATGTGGTGTATATCAAAAGAGAGGATTCTCTAAGAGACTTCACATGCAGATACGTAATGACAATCTTAGTACTTCTCTGTTTCATCATACAACATATTATCAACAATGTCTAACTTACATTGGGTAACTGCAACATCTACTTTGTCTAGTCCTTTATTTACATATTTAAAGAGATATCTCATTGCATTACATTTATTCCAATATTTAATGTTGATTGATCTTGATACCTCATCAAGAGTTGTGGGTTGTATGGCATAACAAATCGATTATCTAAGTCGATATTCTTTCTCATTGTGGTGACCCCCGTGTTTCTTCTTTTGTATATCGGGTAGTCATTCTCATCAAACAATGTCTTATCAACAGATTTTTTAGGAAAATAATTCATGCGTTTATCATTTTCCATATATAGAGATCTTGGATCAACTATGCCACGTGGATCATGCATCATCAATCAAGTTACATACTCATACAATCTAGGATATTTGTCTTTATTAGGAACCTCTACACGTATCACACGATCAATTGACTCGAGCGACTGAAGTTTATCTCTCTTGTGTAACCATTTTTAGATATGTGCATGAGGCAAACTAATATAGAAAACTTTAAAATTACCTCTAATTACTTCACCAAATATACGTTGTGTTTTATGTTATTCTCCAAATGATTCAATTTTATTTTTAAGATTCTAGATTCAATGTCAGGTGTGTCTTCAGCTTTAGAGTTCATTATTCTCATATATGTTTTTCTAGCGATTAAAGATTACACATTATAGTAATAAATGAATCTGGATAACCAAATCTTCAACAATTGACCTTTACATCTTGTTAGTTGTTAAACTTATATCTCCTTCCCCCAATGAATGTAGATGATAGAATAATCAGTTGCCCAATGGCTATCGATTTAATATCATCTTTGATCACAATACAACTTTATGTAAGTCACTCATAATTGCTTCCTATCTTAATCATGGTTTAACCGCATGCAATGAATTCTTTGTAATTCAACTATCATGTATGCATCAACAAAAAAATTATAAATACAATCTTCTTGCAAGCGACACAATATCACCATCATTTTCTCTTTCTTGTATTTATAATACAACAAATGCCCTCATTGATACTCTTTGGCAATTGGCACTTTAAATTTTTTCACACAAAAAATGATTTTCTTATAGTGATAATTTCTTGATATTTTCATCTTCCACAAAAGAAAACAACAAAAGATTATTACAGAGGTATGAAAGCAGTGTGTGTCTCATGGACTTTTAGTAAGAATTAGGGGTGTAAACGGATATTAATCGGATCGGATGTGTCATTACCAAATCCGTATCCGTTTATTTTTTTCGGATATTGAATTCGGATACGGATCTTGACGGATACAGAAAATCAAAACTGTATCCGCATCCGTCGGATATCGGATATTGTATCCGTTTCCAATTTTTAAAATCAAATTAAACAATACTTTAATTTTAAATTAGATTAAAGTCAGACTATTATTAAATCAATTATAATTTGTTATGGGATAATTATTTTCTTTGTTTTCATGATTATGATTTATGATATTCTACGATAACTTCATATGATAAAAAAAATATACACATCACACATATACACATATTTTTATATGTCTGCACATATATTTATGTGTCTAGACATTTATTTTGAATATAAAAATGCCATATACTTTTAAATATCAATAGAGAAACAAAAATATAAACATAAAAAATTAGGAAAAACTATATATAATGGATCGGATATTCGGATAAACGGTTATTTAAGCGGATGTATATTCGAATCGGATTTTAAACGGATCGAATATACAATTACCAAATCTGTATCCATTTAGTAATCGGATATCTTTAATTGGATACGGATAATATCCGTTTAAAACGGATGCAGATATTTTACTCTTTAAACAGATACGGACGGTAATCGGATTTTCAGCTATCCGTTGACAGCTCTGGTAAGAATTCATCTCTTTTTTACGATGATGATGTCTCTTTCTTCATTAGATGAATCAAGATCTCTAAACATTCTCTTCAATCTCACCCATTGAATCCCAAATTTATTTTTTTGAAAGAATCGTATCAAATAAAAAAGTAAAAAGTATGTGATTTAAAATAACAACAACAACAATAGTAATAATAATAATTCTTGATTGGATCTGATCTGATCTAAATAGATATGATATGGTCTGGTCTGATCTGATCTGATTTTAATAAGAATAAGACAGAAAAAATAAGTTGAACAGAACAGAGCCTTATACACAATGCAAGAAGCATGGAGAGTTAAATGATCCAAGCGCTGTCCCTGTCTTAGTGGGAAGTGAGGTTGTTTTATGACTTACCCGGACTAACAAAAAAAATTGGCTAACGCTAATTACCCCATTACCCCTGTCCATACTTAGTGTAAGTTTTATGATCATTCTTGTAAGGAACTCTGACATGTTGCTTGGACATGTTTGGATTATGTTTTTGCTTCCTCAACTCTGTATTTTACTTAAAAAAAATATATAGCAAGGCTTTTTGTTAGTGAAATACTATTTGTGTAAAATATAGCTTAGCAAGCAGATGAAATTGATCCATTGTTAATACTCCCTCCGTCCCAAATTATTTGCCACATTTGCTTTTTCAACAGTCACGGGAACTTTTGTTTATTTTTACGTTTTCATTAGTTTTTTGATAAAATAAAATATTCTTGACACCTCTTATTTCGAAGAACTTTTCATGTCGTTTTTTGATATATAATTTTTATTTTTTATTTTTTTACCAATACGTAAATAAAATGAATTGAAAAAACTTGATATTTTAATTTTGGGAAAGAGGGAGTACTACTTTAGAATCTGAATCCACTTGTTTTTTCCCTTCATTTAATGAAAACCATATACACGGTCTACGCCCCCACAAAATTTACCCAATTTTTCCCTTTATGATTGTTACAAAAAAATAGAACTTGAAAGATAAAAGTTTCAATTTTACCCCTCTAGAGTTATTGGGTAAGTTTAAAGACTTGTTATGAGTCCGATGAAGCTGGAAAACCCATCTCGATACGCAATAAATTAAATTAATCTTGTTCGTGACACATAATAAAGAAAATATTTGGTATTAAAAGTGTAATTCAAATGTGTTTTTTTTTGCCAATGGAGGCCACAATGAAGGTGATTTGATTGATGGAAATCGAATACACCCTTGGGTTAGATTGCTATATATCAAGGATATAGGAGGAACACAAAATTATGGCGTGTTTGGACGAGTGAAAAATGGGTGGCCACCCTGTTCAAGTAAATTCATACTTGCTGGCCTCACTGTCCTTGTCTCCCAAACATGGTAACCTCTCTTTTTTTTTTCTTCAAGAAAATAAAAAATATAAGGGCATGTAGTCTGTTTGGGGTACCCCAGAGTGAGGACCATTTACCTATCAAAAGCTCATTCGGCACATGCACCATAAAGCCTTTTTTCCCATTCAAAATTTTAATTGCAGGGTACTTCCTACTCCTACCCACAAAAAAAATCACTTCAAAAATAGTTCTCATGTATTCTATTTCCTTATTTTTAAAAAAAAGAAAAGAAAATGTGTTTTAACATATTTCATTTTCCATCACTCATTTCTCATTATTTGACATTTTTTGTAATAACAATAAAGTCAGAATAAACAAGCTAGTTTGGGACGGAAGGAATATTAATTTCTTTACTACGTAAAATATTTCAAATTCAAGACAATACAAATGATTAAATTAATACGGAGTAACAAAATAATCTTGAAAATGAGTTTGTTCTTTATGGATGACAACATTTCACATACTCCCACGTCCACAGAAATTTTCACTTTTTTTCAATTCGCAAAACAAACATTATTTTATTTATCTTTTAGGAAAATAGTACCGCTCAAGAAATATCTATGTTCTTAACAAATTTTAACTACATTTTCACTATTTAACAGTTTTTAAAACTACGTGAAAATTAGCCATAGAAGATTTTTATATGACGGAGATAAAATGTTTCTTTTAGGAATGTGTTTCAACATTGTTCATATGATAAGTGAACAATTATATGTGTGAAATTCCAAAATGAACATGGCACAATTAACCACTTCAATGATTTTTTTTTAAAATTACAAATATTATTGTATATAATTTTGAAAGGGGTGTAAATAGTATATTGTGAGTTAATTGATAGAATTATTATACTCGAAAAATGAGAAAATGTTGGGGAAAAAAAAAGAGAAGAAAAAAAAGGCTGTTGAAATTGCCACAGATGGTAGAACATGTCACTCCAGTCCCTAACAGACCATGTGACGCCATAACATGAAAGGGGCAGTACTGTCCTTTTCTCCACTCCCCTTATTATTATCATGTGAGTGAGTCCCTCCCATCATCTTCCCCTGCCCGCCCCCGGATCTTTACCTCCAAAATCTCACTCCCACACATGTGCACATCACTTAATAATTCATTATTAATTTTATATTGAATATATATATATATATATATATATATATATATATACTCCGTATATAATACGGAGTATTTGACATCAAAATTGACAACACCAGACCACTTTTCATAAACATGATAATTATCGTTTAAAAATTATTATACTTCCTGCATCCCGCAAAACATTTTCTATTTTGACTTTTTTGAAGGGGAAATTTGTAGAAGTTTGACTAAGGTGAAACGATAAAAATTGAAACGAGTAGGGCTCAAAAAGAATTTGAAATATTTTATGGGACGTGCATGATGTGAAAGTTGAAAAATTTTACGGAATGTGAAAATAAACATTATTAATGATGTCAACCTTAGATATTATTCTTGGTGTTATGGTAGCATGATGCTAAACAAAATGAAGGTTGTGTGAAGATTAAAGGAATAAGGAAAGAAAAGAGAACTTACATGATTTACTTTCACGAAATTTAAAAAAAATGAAAGATGAAAAGTGTATAGTTATAACTTACTCCCTTCGTCTTTAAAGGATTGTCACAGTTTGACTTTTTTTGATCAATTTACAGCACCCTTTGACCATGAACTAAATATAATTTAAAATAATTAAATACTATAAAAATTTCATATTTCAAAAATATATTTTAAATTAAATCTAATTTTAATAAAATTACATTATAACTAAATATACTTTTTTCATAATTTACGGTCAAATAGAGCCACAATTTGACCAAAAAAGTCATACTGTCTCCATCTTTTATAGGGTATTTAAATAAGAAGAAATCATTTGAGCTACATTAAAAATATTAAGGCATAATTAAAAATATTAATAAAAGAATTTTTGTATTGACACACCTCAAAGTTTAACAATAGTTTTGAGTCTTTGACTAAATAATAAGAAAGTCAGAAGTGAACAATCCTAATGGAATGAAATGAAGGAAATATATTAATAGGGTTTAATATAAAAATATTAATGTAAAGGTGATAAAGTCTCAATCCAAATAGTCTCAAGTTTCTTATATACCATGCAGATGCAAATTACCATGGCACGTGCTTAATTCTACAGACTAGTCTACCCTTTTGAAAAAACAATCCCCCTGCATAAAATTTTTGATACAGAAAAATATTTTTTTAGAAATAGAAAATTAAATTATACAAATGAGTTTTTAACAAAATATACTAACACCTCTTTAAATTTCGAATTTTACTTAGCTGATGTTTGGAAACAAAAATTTCATTTAAACTTTTGCATTTAAATTACAAGTTGAGACACATGGATTTGCAATTGAGCGTTATAACAAATTGGAAGAAATTACTTCAAATCCAAATCCAAATTTTGAAGATTTTCCAAACAAGATATTTGAGTCAAATTTGAATTTGAAATCCAAATTCCAATTCTCAAACACGCAATTGAATTCTGAATTATAAAGTCTGATTATTAGAATTCAAACACAAAAAATTAAGAATTTGAATATTGAAAGCTGGAGAGTCCATAATTATACAATTAACATGTCCATATATGAACATTCCTCAAATGAAAAAAAACATCAAATCAATAATTCCGCTTTCGAATAAAGATGAATAATATAGTACTGTAACAAAGAAACAAAAACAAAACAGAAGATACAAAAGAAATGAGTCTTCTTTAGAAACAATTGATTAATAATCTTTATAAAAGATGAACAATCATCATCATTAACTTACTTAATAAGAGCATACAAAGTAATTAAGAAGCTAATCAAAGAAAAAGACATAAATTTAACCAAAAAAAAACAAAAACAAAAAAAGGAGTTTCTTTTCTTTTCTTTTCTTTTTTTGTCGTCTAAAATAACCAATTTTTGCATCTCAAATGAGAAATCCAAAACGCTGTCGTATCATCCTTCGTTCTGCTTCTGCGGAATCGCCGGATTACAGTAACTACTACTACTGTTTGGGCCGTAAATTTCGATAAGTTTCTGCAAGACGGCGACTTGTGTTCGGAGCAGGACAATGTAGCTCGCCGTGTCTTGGAACAGCTGATCGGATTTCCGGTCACCGGTCACCGGAGGAATGAGCTGTCTCAGGGCCTCGATCTTGTCCGACACCGAAGAGTTCGACGGAGCTCTGTCTTTCCCGGGGCCGAATTGGGCTCTCCGGCGGGCGGCCGATCTTCTCCTCGTCTTTGTAATTCGAAGGTCGCCGGTGACAGGACTCTGTTTGGATCCCATCGCGGTTGTGGTCGGCGGGGAGGAGTTGACGGCGGCGGCACGGCGTCTGGAGAGAGAGAGAGAAGGAAGAAGGGACGTTCCGTTTCCGTTCCGTTTTGTAAATGGGGAGGCGTTTGGGGGAGGGGTTTAAGTAGGAAGGGAATTTGAGTAGTGCCACTATTTTCTGCTCGAATCACTATTATGCCATCACGAGTCACTTGGGGTAGTTGTCCCTTGTCCCGCCTCACACCAATTATTTATGAGGAAAAAGTATGAGCATCATTCCGGGAGGTACCCTCAGATTCACTCGGACGGTCACTGAGAAGAGCCAAATAAGATTTTAATTGCAGATTGATGAAAAAGAATGAAGCCTGTACCTGATACTTACATAAGTTATATATTTCCTCCGTCCCAAAAAGATTTACACGTTTCAAAAAAATTGCGTTCCACAATCCATTACATATTTCTATTAAAAAATCACTTTTATCCCTTACTTTTTCAAACCCTACTTATCACATCATACCTTTTTTTAATAATCTACACATCACATCAAGGGTATTTTTCGAAAGTTAACACAAAATTATTCCTCCAATAATTTCTACTTTAGTCAAAACGTACACATCTTTATAGGACGGGGAGAGTATAAGCTAACTCGTAATAGTAACTAAGAAGTTTATTCTTGGATAGAATTGAAAGAGTATTAATTAAGGCAATCCTTTCACCTCAATCAGCATATTGCTGGTAAACCGAGGGAGAGGGGTTAAAAGTTAAAATTAACTTGATTTAAAATGTGCAATAATTATAATCTACGAGTAATTCGGAATAGTGAAAGTAATTAATACTACCTCCGTCCCAAAAAGATTTACACGTTTTGACTAAAGTTGAAATTAAGGGAGAGATAATTTTGTGTTGACTTTCCAAAAATACCATTGATGTGATAGGTAAAAGTAGGATGTGATATGTAGATTATTAGGAAAAAGGTGTGATGTAATAGGTAGGGTTTGAAAAAGTAAGGGGTAAAAGTGGTCTTTTAATAAAAATGGGTAGAAGATTATGAGACACAATTTTTTGAAAGGTGTAAATCTTTTTGGGACGGAAGGAGTATGAGGGTAATAGTTATAGAATTTCTCTCACATTTTAGTCATCACATCATCAAGTATTTATCTCATGTGAATCGTAAGATTTAGGGTCAACCCTTTTGAAGCTAATCTGAAGTCATAGTGGGTTTTGTTTAAGAAAAAGTTAAAAAAAGAAAAACCTAAGAAGTAAAAAAAATTAAAAGTAATGATGATCTAAATATAATACTCCCTCCGTCCTATATTTAACTTCCTGTTTTGACTTGAGCTCATTTTTAAGAAAGAGTAAAAATTCCTTTGACTTTCCAAAATTGCCCCTCAACCCTTCTTCTACTTCGCTGCCCCTGATTATTGATGTGAGCTTGCCTAACTCCAACAAAAATCATCCAACCACCACAAGCATATATATCCAACAAATTCAAGCTTTTGGAACAGAATCGATTCATCTGTTCTGAAATAATTTTTTTTTGCATATATATACGCTTCATGTATATCAGTAGATACGAAGAAAGATAATCACACATGAGCCTTAAATCGATCATTGACTCCACCCAATTCAAGAAATTTGGTGTATCAAAAACACACCCAACATTAAAAAGGGGTAAAATCAAAGATGTTAAAAAACACAGATTTGAAATACTCCGTAGAAAGAATTAAGTATAAGATGCAATAGAAAAAAATGGATCTGCTCTTCTTAGGCTTTTTAGTGTGTTAATCTTAACAACAAAGAATAGATCTGAAAATGAATGGAATCATAAATGCAATTTTATTCTAGAGACAAAGGTGCAGTGCAACGAAAACAAAATCAAAGACAAAAAAATGAAATCTCGTGAAGGCAAAGGAAATTCGAATCGAAAAGGAAAACTGAGATTTGAGATAAGAAAGAGAAGGTCGCTGGGATGAGATTATGAGAAGTAGAAGTTAGAATTAAGAAGAAATTAAAGAAAACGGATGAGGTTGGGGTTAAAGGAGGACGTGAGAATTAGGAAGGAAAAAAGAAAGGATAGGTTAGAGGGTATTATTGTCATTTGATATAGTAGAAGTTGCCATTTTAAGTAATGGGAAGATAATTTTAGGACANCTAGAGACAAAGGTGCAGTGCAACGAAAACAAAATCAAAGACAAAAAAATGAAATCTCGTGAAGGGAAAGGAAATTCGAATCGAAAAGGAAAACTGAGATTTGAGATAAGAAAGAGAAGGTCGCTGGGATGAGATTATGAGAAGTAGAAGTTAGAATTAAGAAGAAATTAAAGAAAACGGATGAGGTTGGGGTTAAAGGAGGACGTGAGAATTAGGAAGGAAAAAAGAAAGGATAGGTTAGAGGGTATTATTGTCATTTGATATAGTAGAAGTTGCCATTTTAAGTAATGGGAAGATAATTTTAGGACAGCCTGAAAAGGAAAGTGAGAAGTTAAATTTAGGACGGAGGGAGTAATTCTTTAAAAATAATAATAATTTAATTTGCATAAGACATACGTACGTGTACGTTGTTTCAGGTAGCTCAATCATAAATAATGGGACATCCATACAATCCGCATGTTAGTATACAACTAATGTTTCCTTTTTCAATTAAAAACAAGATTTTTTTTGTAATTGGTCAAAAGAATTTTTGATTTAATTGTTTATAGAACATAATTTTAAATTTTCTTTGTACTATTGGATCTATAACAATGTAACATTTGTTTATACGTACTTTTTCAGAATATTGAACACATAAGTTCAAAAACAACCTTCCATTTATGCAACTTAATTAATTAGACATAAGGTCTATCTTTGGCATTTTAATACTCCCTATCTTTTTGTAAACTTTAAAAAGTCAAATAACAGGATTATTTTCACAAAAAAATTAGTATTCACGTGCAAAGTTTGAACAAATCACATTAAAGAAGCATCATCTAGCTTTCAATTCAATGAGTCAGGGCCGGTCCGGAGGTGGGCCGAGTAGCCATATCGGACCGGACCTAATTTTTTAAGGGCCCAAATTTTAATAGGTATTGCATATATTTTTAATAAAATAAAAATACTTACAACTAGGGCTGTAAACGGATAACCGAAAATTGGATTACCGTCCGCATCCGTATCCGTTTATATAGAAAATATCCGCATCCGTTAAAAACAGTTATTATCCGTATCCGATTAAGGATATCCGATTGCTAAATGGATACGGATTTGGTAATCATACATCTGATCCGTTTATAATCCGCTCCGCATTGACATCCGTTTAAATAACCGTTTATCCGTGTATCCGATCCGTTATATATGGTCTTTCCTAATTTTTTATTTTTATATTTTGTTTCTCTATAGATATCTCAAAGTATAAGACATTTTTATATCCAAAATATATGTGTAAACACATAAAAATATGTGTAGACATGTAAAAATATGTGTATATATGTACGGTGTATATCTTTTTATGATATGAAGTCATCGTATAATATCATAAACTATGAAAAATAAGAAAATAAATATCCCATAAAAAATTATAGTTGATTTAATAATATTTTAATTTAGTTTAATTGAAAATTCAAGTATTGTTTAGTTTAGTTTTAAAAATTGGAAACGGATACAGATATATCCGATATCCGACCGATATCCGACGGATGCGGATACGGTTTTGATTTTTCAATATCCGTCAAGATCCGTATCCGAATTCGATATCCGACAAAAGTAAACGGATACGGATTTGGTAATAGCACATCCGATCCGATTAAAATCCGTTTACACCCCTACTTACAACCATTAAAGTTACCAAACTTATTGTTAAATAACCCACACAGTAAAATATATACTCCCTCCGTCCCATAAAGTGTTACCCATTTTGACTAAAGTTGAAATTAAGGGATGGATAACTTTGTGTTGACTTTCCAAAAATACCCTTGATGTGATTGGTAAAAGTAGGATGTGATGTGTAGATTATTAGAAAAAAGGTATGATGTGATAGGTAGGGTTTGAAAAAGTAAGGGGTAAAACTGGTTTTTTAATAGAAATGGGTAAGGGATTGTGGTACACAAATTTTTTGAAACGTGTAAATATTTTTGGGACGGAGGGAGTATCAACTATAATGATTTCATTAAAACTTCTAATTACATAGACAAAAGAAACATAAATAATATCTAATATATTTGTTTTATGAGCTTAGAAAATTTTATATTTTATCTAAAAAATAATTTAAATACTTATACCCAAAAAAATTATTTTTTCAATAAAGAAATGCCTAAAAAATTATTGTCATCAATACAAATTAGGAAATATTTATTAATTATTCTTTAATATATTAAAATTAATTTTTTCTTCTACTTTTTCTCGTTTCAATCAACTAAATATAAATGTGACGTATTACATACGAATTACAGAGTATTATATAAGAACACATTACCAAGCCTTTACTTTTTAAGAATATGAGAATTACCTAACTTTTTTACGAAGTAGTATTCATTAGATATTCATCATTTATCTTTAATAGTAGTAAAAAAATATAAATAAAAATAGAAAGCGTAACGGTATTTGAAAAATTATATTGAAATCTTGATGAAAGAGTGAAAAAACTCAAATTAATATTCTTTATTAATAAAATATCTAATAATGTAATATAAAATAATTCTTTAAATTGCAGCTGGCCAGGTCGTTGATGTCGACTGATTAACCCTTGACCTTGCTATGATTTATCATTTACTCATTTTGTTATAGTACTAGTATGTTAACTGTAATTTAAATATAAGTAGTTTGCATACTTTATTTCGTTAAACCATTAGAGATAAAGTCTTTAGGACCTTTTTTCCGTCTCGACCCAGGCCATCAAATTTTCGAGACCGGTCCTATTTTTGTTTCCCCCACTAACTCAGCTCCTCGCATCACTCCTAAGCTTCTAACTACATTTACATTTTGCATAAGGTTTCTTACACGTTGTTGGAGTTCCCACATCGGAAAATAAAGATGAGTATCACTTGCATATATTGAAGGGTGAAGCCCTACCTATCAGCTTAAGCTTTTGGGTTAGAATTGTGGATCCCAAGTTTATATGCAAGTGATTAATTTTACCCAACACTCTATCTGTTGTTCTTGGCCCGCCAGAATTTTAACATGGTATCGAAGCAGGTCCGGTCCGGGT